AGAGAGAGAGAGAGAGAGAGAGAGAGAGAGAGAGAGAGAGAGAGAGAGAGCAATAGACTACTTTCCTGTGTGAAATGAAGTTCCATTTCCATTTATACTCATTCATTTGTCTTTGAAATCCACATCCTGCAAACTCTCATCATGGCTGAATAACTGGTGCAGGGGTTACTCTGTATTAGAGTGTGAGAGCTCAGGGAATTAATATTTCCTATACTGACCCCAATGCCTGTTACCACTCCAGATACAGGCTACAGACGGACAGAACAGAACCTGAGGAGAACCAGTCAGCTATTAACCCAGTGACAGAGGAGCTACTAGACTTTTGTTTGCTGGCAAACAACCGAATGAGGGGTGAGACACTGCAATCTTTTCGGGTTGTGATGAAATCCAGAAGAGAGACACTACATTTTAAGTCCCACTCTAACCTGAGAAATCATCTTTGAGAGAAGATCAGAGGGGAAAGAACGGGTTGACATGTGTGTATCAAAGTACAGATGTGTAAATGTCAGGCCAAAACTTTTCATTGTAATACAAATATGACAAACCAAACTTTCATGATGTTGTATGTTGAAAGCCAGCAGCAGAGTTGTTGGAATCTCTAAAGGAACGAGCAGTGGTAACTTTACTGCTTCATGGCTTTTGCTATCGAAAGTATATCAGAAGCACTCCACATAATCGTTTTCAGTGAATAGTTGTATGATACTGTCTCTTAGTAACAGACAATAAGTTGTTTTTTAATACTTACATTCCGGGTCGTGCATTCAATGACTCTTGAAGACTTGTGCAAGTCTTTGCAAAAATTCCTCAGAGAACAGAACCGCTGGTGCAGGGCCATCCTTAAGATGTATGGGGCCCTATGCAGTATTATTAAACTGGTGCCCCTATGCCCAACGGCAGCCCGGGCTCGCATGTGTATTTTAGATAAGGGGGAGTCTTTTGAAGGATTTATTGAAAAAAAACTATATGTCTGAAGATTCAAGCATTTAAGGCTAAAGATGAATACTCAGATTGTGCATCTAAAAATCTATGCAAGGATTATTTTGAGATCTTATTTTATAATCTTCAACAAAGCACTAATGAAATATTTTTAAAGCAAATTTTAAACTAAGGTCCTGTAGACTAATATATTCTGAGTAAATATGACAGTGATGCTGAACAGTTTTTGTCAGTAAATTCAGAATCTGAGAGTATATACCTGGGGTTGGCAGATGCCTGTTAAATGGTTTCATTACCACTTGAATGGCTCTTTAACAGTTTCAGTGTTGTGCTAATAGGTCTGGCAGGCTGGAGGCTTTTTCAATTTTAAGTACTAGATCCCCTCCAGAGGAAGATTTACCAGGCTGCAGTAGCCAGCTGTGGTGGGAGCCTTCAGGAAGGGTCAGAAGAAGGATAGGAAGCGGCAGGGGGTGGACACTAAGACCCCGGGGGTGCCCCAAACTTTCGGGTGCCCTATGCAGCCCTATATGCGGCTTATGCATAAAGACTGCCCTGCTCTGATGTGTGTTTCAGCAAAGAGTAGAGCTGAGGTATAGGAAAGGGAAGTGTAATAGTGATTGTATGTAACTTATGTCCATCACCTCTTACAGGAGCCTTGCTCAAGTAAATTGCACACTCAACTGGATATGAGTGAAAACCTAGTGTTTGCACTATTCACCCATTTGTGATGCCGTTCCCTCCCCCGCCCAGCTGAAGTAACTCTGTGTTAGCTGGTAACTTGCCAAATATCTACAAACACCAGCACAGGGAGAGGATGTAGGTCCTGTGAGGATGAAGAGAAACCTGTAGGATGATCAGACTCGCTGGATTCAGTCTACTTTGACCAGGGAAACAGTTCAGCTTCTTTTGGAGGTATTCTTGGGGGTCAGAGTGTATCACCAGGAACATCTGGTAAGGGAAACTAAATAGAGCCCAGTTCTGATTGAATTTACACATGTAGATCTGGAGTGATGCAGTTAAAGTGAATATTATTGAATTAAGAAAATGGCAATAAGAATTTATCTCATGTACTGCAACGAGGCAGTGGCATAATTTGAACTTTCAGGAGTGGAGAAAATGATAGATAGATAGATAGATAGATAGATAGATAGATAGATAGATAGATAGATAGATAGATTCAATCCAGGATACATAGATACAAAACCGTTTTCACCATGAACTGGCCATGTGTTTAGACTCATTTCATGATACAATGGGCCACACTCAGAAGTGAAGGGTCCCAGAAAGGGTGTCTGTGGGAAGGTCACAATTGTAAAATCACACAATGCTTAAGTAGGCTGAGGAACTCCAAGCCACAAGATATCCAAAGTGCCAAGAACTTAGCAGGATTCAAAGTGGGATGGGATGTTTATATGGGTATCCAATTACAATAGTGAGGATGGTTTTTAAAAGTCTGGGAAGGCCTCTAAACCTTCCTGATTTACACCACAAAATATGTCTAACTAGTGGGTGTCATGGAGAGATTTTCCGGGGGAGCAGGTTATCTCATAGCTGCCTCTTTCAGGGCTTCTTCCAGCTTTCTCTGCAGCATCTGAAACTGGTTACTGGATACTGGGCTCGATGGACTACAGGTCTGATCCAGTCTGGAAATGCCTAGCTCCTGGGAGTCTCTAGACTTGCACTGAAAGCAGAAAGTTGTCATGTTAAATATCATTTAGCCTCCTGTTTTTTTCCCTTTCAGGAAGGAAAGTTCAGAACTCCTCAGACCTGCCCAGTCCATTATGTCAGCTGTCAATAACACCAAATTCACATCTGCAGTGTTCCTTCTCACTGGGATACCTGGGCGGGAAGACATACATCTCTGGATCTCTATCCCCTTCTGCTTGACGTATGTCATTTCCATAGTAGGAAATTCACTCATTCTGTTCATTATAAAAACAGATCAAAGCCTCCATGAGCCAATGTACATTTTCCTTTCAATGTTGGCCGTCACAGACCTTGGCTTATCGATATCTACCATACCAACGACATTGGGGATATTATTATTTAACTCTAGGGCAGTCAGCCTTGGTGCCTGTTTTGCCCAGCTGTTCTTCATCCACTCGCTTTCATACACTGAATCCTCCGTGCTCCTGTTGATGGCCTTTGACCGCTTCGTCGCGATATCTAACCCACTGAGATATGCTTCCATCTTAACCCCACTGAGAATAGCCAGGATGGGACTTTTCTTTGTGCTAAGATCGGTGGCCCTTAACTTTCCACTTCCCTTTCTCCTGAAACGGTTCCGATACTGTCGAGCCAATGTCCTCTCCCATTCCTACTGCCTGCACCAGGAGGTCATGAAGATGGCTTGTTCAGACATCACAGTCAACAGCATCTATGGCTTGTCTATTAAACTCTTAACGGTAGGCTTAGACTCGTTGCTCATCTTTCTCTCTTATGTGATGATCCTCAAAACTGTGCTGAGTGTCGCATCCCACGCAGAGTGCCTCAGGGCCCTGCACACCTGCGTCTCCCACCTATGCGCTGTACTGCTCTTCTACACATCAGAGATTGGCTTGTCTGTGATACACAGATTTGGGAACAGCTCTTCTCACTTCCTTCAGATTCTCCTGGGATATGTCTACCTGCTGGTCCCACCCCTGATGAACCCAATCGTGTACAGCGTGAAAAGCAAACACCTTCGTGCAAGGATAATCAGGATGTTCATCAAATGAAGGGTCAATTTATCACCTGATTCCAGTGCTGGTGACACGGGACATGAAAAACATGGGCCACCTATTCCATCCTGGACACTTACATCCGAGATGAAATGAGCTATTGCTCTCCACTCTGTAGAGAGAGGTTGAAAAGGGGTGAGGAAGGATAGTGAACTGGGGACAGGGTCCAAGGCAAGCAGCAGCATTTACACAGTGATTTTATTCATGGAGAGCCAGGGGACTGGTGGGATGTTGGTCCATAAAGAACCATATCAGTGGCTGCTCCGACCTCAGAATTCCTCTCAATACAGTCAATAAAGAGAAGGGACATGGATGTTGTTTCCCATTACACCTGGCCTGTCACTGTCCTGTCTCTGGTTAAACATCCACAGGCCATGAAAAAAGTTGCAGGGCTGTTGTGCAGTCGCAGTCCTGGCCCTTCCTGAGTGCTCTGGGTGCTGCGTGATCCATCGGGGCTGCACCAGCTGTGTTCAGGGGCTATTCAATGGGCATGGACACCCACCTTTCCCCTACGCCCTCTGCCAGATGCTTGTGACTGAGTCGTGTCAGAGACATGATTAACGCAGGAGCCCCAAGTGAAGCCATTCTCAAAGCCCCTCCACCCCCTTTGATGGCCTCCTGCCTACCAGAACAGGGCTCCTCCCAAACCTCTATTCCCAAACCAGAACCCCTGAATCCACAGCCAGAACACCCTCCCCTCCACTTCCTTGACACCCCCTGCTGTTGATCTGCCCCATTCTCCTCCACACCTGGCTGCAGCTTGGCACGTGCGGCTCCCCACTGGGCCTGGAGCACAAGTGGTCCAGAGCAGTTCAGTAGGGCAGGGGCCTCAAGTCTCCCGCAGGGACCCTGGTGGGGGGATGGGGCAAAGGGACCCCACTTGCACCGCAGGGCCCGGGTTGAGGGGGGTCAATTGTAGCTAGGAGCACCCACTGGTCGGGGTGCCCAACATCTGGCTGCTGGTGCTGCCTCCTGCCCAGCATGCTCCAGGATCCCAATGGCCCCGGGCCTCCGTAGTCGAATAGTGGCGGGGCTGGGGCAGGCGAACAGGGTAGGGGAGCTACATGCACAGCACCCTCCCACCAGCACTGCCCCAGGCCAGGCAGGGGACCAAGAGCCCAGGGAGGAGGCAGGGGTTGCACGCAGGCGCAACCAAGGAGCCCAGCTGTCCGCGGCGTGCAGCAGCCAGAAACCCCTGACCTCGGCCTGCCGAGCCTCCTCCCGCCCTGCACTCGCTCTGCCAAGTGGTAGGAGCTTCTGGGGGGAGGAGGTAGGGGCAGAGTGGAGCCGCAGCGCCTGAGGGCTCCTCTCCACCCCCATCACTGGATGGAGCCCTCAGCTGGCCGGCTGGCCAAGAGGAGCAAGTGGGCATGGGGGGAAGGATGCAGGGAGAAGCCCTGGGCCAGTTGGTCCAGAGGAGTGAGGGGTAGGGGCTGGGAGTGGAGAGGTACCAGCAGCGTGGTTGCTTGGCTGGGAGTGGAGCGGTACCAGCAGCGTGGTTGCTTGGCTGTAGCACACAAGGAGGGCCGGGCTGGGCCATCAGGCTGAGGCCACGTTTGAGTGTGGACCCAGAGCCATGGCACCACTGGCACCATTATTAACCCAGTACTGAGACAAACCCAGGGCATGGTGCCCTCTTTGGCGGGACACCCTGGGCAGCTGCCCATACCGCCCACCCCAAAGGCTGGCCCTGAAGCTGAGAGCTTAGAATGTGTCAGGTAACATAGGGAAGTGTTAATATCCTTATACAATGCACTGGTGAGACCTCCTCTGGCAAACTGTGTAAAAGTCTGGTCATTCCTATTCCAGAAAGATTAATTTAAACTGGAGGAGGTGCAGGGAAGGTCTCCTTGGATGGTCAGGGCAATGGAGGACCTGGCTTACATGGAGATGTAATGAGCGTGTCTGGTTTAGCCGAACACAACACAGGCTGAGTGGGGATCGGATTGCTCTATAAATATTGGGGTGGGGGGAACACCAGGGAGAGAGACAAACTCCCGAAGCTAAAGGACAGTTTTGGCAAAAGAAGAAACGGGGAGAAACTGGCCAGGTCTAAACTCAGTCTGGAACGGAGAAGGAGGTTTCTGACCATCCAAGGAGGAAGGTTCTGGAACAGCCGCCCAACAGGAGCAATGGGGGGGGGGGAACAACCCAGCTGGGTTTAAGATGGTGCTTGACAGGTTTATGCACCGGATGATATGCCGGGGTAACATACCATAGCTGGGGACTGGTCTCATTGACACAGGAGGTCCCTTCAAATTCAAGGTCCCTATGGGTCACATTCACCTGTTTTGCATCCACCAGGAGCTCATGTGGAGTTGCTTGTCCTCTATGACCCTGCTCTGTGCCCTGGCAAAAGGATTTTTCACTCAATAGATTCAGAAGAAACCTATAACTCACTGTTATCATCTGGAAAATAATTGTTCTTGTGCTCCTGTGTAGTGATGTCACAGGCATTTAATTCCCTGAGTTTCTGGAAATTTCAACATGCTGAGTCACCAGCTGCCCCCTCCCCAGCCACTAGCCCCAGAGAGGAAGGATGATTTAGGGGTTAAAGTGCTGGCAGGTGACTCCTAGGAACTGACTTCATTTCCAGGCTCTTCCACAGTCTTCTTCTGTGACCGTGTGCAACTCATTTAGTCCTTCTTTGCCTCAGCAATATGTGTTTTAATACAGCTCAATATAAAGGTGTACATCTAGGAACAAGGGATGCTGGGCATCCTTACCAGATGGGGGACCCAATGCTGGGAAGCAGTGACTCTGAAAAAGACTTGGGGGCTCATAGTGGATTATCAGCTGAACATGAGCTCCCAGTGCAACACTACAGCTAAAAAGCTACTGCAATCTGGGATCTACAACCAAGGGAATCTCGAGTTGGACCAGAGAGATAATTTTACCTCTGTATTTGTCACTGGTGTGTCGACTGCTGGGATCCTGTGTCCAGTTCTGGTGTCTAAAATTCAAGAAGTAAGTTGATAATTTGGAGAGGGTTCAGAGAAGAGCCATGAAGATGATTAAAGGATTAGAACATGTGCCTTGTAGTGATAGACTCAAGGAGCTCAATCTAATTAGTTTAACAAAGAGAAGGTGAAGGGGTGACTTGATAACAGGCTGTAAGTACCTGCATGAGGATGAGAGAAAGTTATAAGAGTTTCCGAAGGATGGAAGCTAAAGCTAGACAAATTCAGACTGGAACTAAGGTGTACTTTTTTTTTTTTTGCAATGAGGGTAATTAACCTTTGGGACAATTTACCAAGGGCTGGGGTAGATTCTCTATCACTGACAATTATTAAGTCAAGGCAGGATGTAGTTCCAACAGCTCTGCTTTAGGAGTTATTTTCAGGCAGGTCTCTGGACTGTGCTATGCAGGGGTCAGACTAGAGGATCACAATGGTGCCTTCTGGCCTTCAGATCTATGAATGTTTGACTCTGCACAGTGGTGTTAGTAGCACTGCCCTACCACACGGGGTGTTGTACTGATAAATATGTTACAGGTTGTGAGGCGCTCGGGCACTACAATAATTGGGGCCAGAGCTTAGTGCCTCTGAGAGATTTCAGCTTTATATGCCTCATCAGAGTGATTTGGGGCACTGGGTGGAGATCCTGAACTCTTCCCAACACCCCTTGGTTATGAGACTTGTCATCAGCACAGCCCCCTTTGACGAGGGAGTTCTGTGCTGAACAGAGCCCTGCTGGGCTGCCCTTTGGTCTGATCCTCACTCTTCACCTGCTCCATGAGCAATGAGAGTTTCTGTAAGTGCTGGAGGTAGACCTCACACCCTGGATCCAAATTTCAATCATCAACAAGTTTGGGGGTAGCTAAATCTGGGGGAGGGGGATGTTCAGTCCAATAGAGAGCTAGCAGCAGGCACTTGGAGATGGGCTTGGGTCACGCCCCTTTCTATTAAGAATGTGAATGGACTTGCTTAGCCGGTGTGTGCATGTCTCATGCCTGAACATGAGGAAGAGACCCTCTGAACTGTGCCTCAGGTACTCACTGACTCTGCAAGCCAGTTCCTTTTATGTCCGGTGGTCTGTGGCCTAATCCTGTTCCTTACAACTGGGCAATCTGTAGCCCAGAGAACAGGTCAACAGTGTCCCTGCCACTCCTGGACTGTGTGACTAGAAACGTCCATTAACTAACCCTCAGTGCCTTTGTTTGTGGGTGCTCCACCTGAGAGACGGCCAGCAGCGCCAGCTCCTGGGATTTTACTGGGAGTCTCACACTATTTCCTCTCTTTCTGAAAGCCCCAACTGCTGTGATCAAGAGACTGTGCGGGAATCTCAGCATTCAACATAGTGGTATGCTTATGATATAATTATGATACCTCTGGTACAAGATATGTCTTATGAGGTGTCATTTGAAAAGTTATGGTTTTCGAAATATGATTATCCTATTTGTGCGCATGTATCATTTTTGTACCTGAAGTTATGAATATTGACTACGTATCTGTATTTCAAATTAGCTTAATCTGTGTAACACCCACAACTAGCCTTTCAGGTACAAAAATGAAGACGCTAGACAGTGCTAATGGCTCACCAACAAAGATAATTGACCATGGAAGAGCTTAGCCGTCCAGTGAACATTTCAGTGAGTAATGGCTGCTGTGACTTAGCAGGGCATACATGGGCATGTGATCAGACTACATGACACCGAACTCCATTTTGGTACCTGTATTTCTCCACAAACTGGGCCGGGACCTTAGCTTAGCCTTAAAGGGTTCTTGCCATATGGAAAAACTTTATAAGGTGGTGTGTGACATCATCTCTTGACCTCACTCCCCACGCAACAGAAGTCCTGGAAACATCTGAGGAACAAAGACTGGATGGAGGGAGATGCTGGTCCCAGGCTATAGGGATTTCTAGCCTGCATATGTAAACTTGGTGGACTGCTTGTATCATCAGTCAGGGTGAGAAATTGCTACTTCAAATCCTATCTAACTAGTATATTAGGCTTAATTTGAAATTTTGTTTATTTGCTAGTTAACCTGCTTTGATCTGTTCGCTGTCACCTATAATCATGCAACATCTATCTTTCTGTAGTTAATAAACTTGTTTTATATTGTATCATAACCAGTGTGTTTTGTGTGAAGTGTCTGGGGAAATCTCAGTTCTGTAAACAAAGGCTGTTGCATATCTTTTCCACTTCTAGGGGAATGCTACTTATATTAATGAGTTTGCATTAATGCCTGTGCAATGGAAGATGGTATAATTCTGGGTTTATACTCCAGCAAGTGTGCAAGGCTGGGGAGCTGGGAAATTGGCTGTTGTCTCCTGTTTGTCCTTGAGTGGCTTAGGTAAAGCACTGAGGTAGCTCCATTGGGTGTGCAGCACCACCTGCTGTCTTGTTGGGTGATAACAGGGCCTGGAGAGGCTGGCGGTGTTACTGGCAGAGCAGTCTGAGAGAGGCCAGATCAGCTGAATGATTAGGGATCGCAGCGGTTCGACTGGCTCCCAGACTGCAACCTGGGAGTGACAATCCATCACAGAGATTTTAGAACAAACTGATAAATTAAACAGTAAAAGTCACCAGGACCAGATTGTATTCACCCAAGAGTTCTGAAGGAACTCATGTTGAAGAACTACTAACTGTGGTATGTAACCTATCACTTAAATCGGCCTCTATCCCAGCATACTGGCAAATAGTGAATGTGATGCTGATTTTTAAAAATGGCTTCAAAACATTCATGAACGTGATTTGTTGAGGAAAGTCAACATGGCTTTTGAAAAGGGAAAACCATGACTCACTAATCTATTAGAATTCTTTGAGTGGGTCAACAAAAATGTGGTCAAGGGTAATCCAGAGGATATAATGTACTTCGACTTTCAGAAAGACTCTGACAAGGTCCCTCACCAAAGGCTGCTAAGAAAAGTAAGCAGTCATGGGATAAGAGGAAAGATTCTCTCCTGGATCAGTAACTGCTTAAAAGATAGGAAACAAAGGGTAGGAATAAATGGTCAGTTTTCAGAATGGAAATAGTCGTGTCCCAGAGGGATCTATACTAGGACCAGTTCTGTTCCACATATCCATAAATGATCTGGAAAAAGGGGTAAGCAGTGAGATGACAACATTTGCAGATGAGACAAAATTAATCAGTATACTTAAATCCAAAGCAGACCTTAAAGAGTTACAAAGGCATCTCACAAAACTCAGTTACTGGGTGAATGGCAGATGAAATTCAGTGTTGATAAATGCAAAGTAGCGCACATTGGAAAACTTAATCCCCATTTTACATACAAAAGGATGTTTCCAAATTAGCTGTTACCACTCAGGAAAGAGATCTTGGAGTCATTGTGGATGGTCTCTGAAAACATCTGCTCAATGTGCAGCGGCACTCAAAAAAAGCTAACAGAATATTGAGTACCATAGTCGGTGGATGTAATAGGCCAGGGGGTAAGATTCCAGTGGTGCAGCTGTGGATGCCGGCTGCCAGTTGTGGGGTTTATACAGGGAAGTTTTTGCTTATTATTATGTGCCATGTAGGTTTCAGTGTGGCTGAGGAGGCAATATGTGTTACTCAGCTTTCCGGATTCATCAGTAATTCCCTGGGACTCCACAGAGATTACTGATGAACCCAGGAAGCTGTGTAACACTTCCCACTGTGACAAGTTGTCACCCCCAGGGTGCAGTCTGGGAGGCATTGGGAACAGCTGTGCCCTTCAACCCTCCAGCTGGGCTGGCCAATCTTACACTGCTTTGTTGGTGACACAGCCAGCCTCTGCAAGCCTTGTTATCACCAACACAACAGCAGCTAATGCCATACACCCAACTGAGCCTCCTGAGTGCTTTGCCTAAGCCACTCAAAGACAGGCAGGAGACAACAGCCAATTTCTCAGCTTCCCCACCTTGCCCTCTTTCTTGAGAATAAGTCCAGAATTATACTGTCTTGCACTGCACAGGTATCGGTACAGCATAACCTCATTAATATAGGTCACTTTAACCTTGATGTGGGAAAGATATGCAACAGCCTCAACACAAACTAAGCCTAACATTCTAGATAGGTTGGATATAAATTAGCAATTTCTCACCCTGACTGATGATCCATGCTGTCCACCAAGTTTTCATATGCAGGCTAGAAATCCCTTAAGCCTGGGACCAGCACTTCCCCCGGTTCAGTCTTTGTTCCTCGGGTGTTTCCAGGAGTTCTCTTCTGTGAGGAGTGAGACCAAGAAATGATGTCACACCCTATGTTATATAGTGGAAAAATACAGGCACCAAAATGGCGTTTAGAGTCATGTGGTTTGGTCACATACTCTTGCATGCCCTGCTGAGTCATAGCAGCCATTATCCATAGGCTGTCCGGAGCTTTCTCAGGAAGGTTCACCAGGTGGGGGATAAGCTTCTCCTCAGGCCTATTGTTTCCCTTAATGTCCCATTACCCTAAATAGGCCCTTCACAACCAGCTATCTTGACTGGAAGCATTTTGCCCAGGTGTAGCTACATTTGAAATACAGATACATAGTCAATATTCATAACTTCTGATACAAAAATGATAATATTATATTTATGATCATATTTCACAAATCATAACATTTTCATAGATGCCTCACAAGACACATTTTGTACAAGATGCATTATAATGATATCGTAATCATATCATGATGATACCACTATGCTGAATAATGGGGGCAGTGTCAGAATTGCTTCCTCAGCTGCCCTGGAACATGCATGGCACATTTAAAATGGTCAGGTTCTTTGGAAAGAGAAATACGTTCCCCGTGGGGCAGATTGGGGTCTCAGGAGATGAGGTGTGGCATGGCTGGGGGGGCTCTGTCCAGCCCAAGGCTCCTCCATCCGCGAGGTCTAGTAGGGGAGATCAGGGCTATAGCCATGGGTGGTGGGGAGGCTCTGGGTTCTCTGGGATGGGGGGCGGGGGTTCAGGGCTCTGGCTATGTCGGGGGAGAGCTTTGGGCAGAAGGCGTGGGGCCGAGGGGATCTCCCTCCCCGAAGGGGAGCTCCATCCACAATTCATGTTGGGAACCATTAGGAAAGAGATAGGTAACGAGAGAGAAAATATCATATTGCCTCTATATAAATCCATGGTACACCCACATCTTGAATACTGCGTGTTGTTTTGATTCCCCCATTTCAAAATATATATATGTGAATTGGAAAAAGTACAGAGAAAGGGCAACAAAAATGTTTAGGGATATGGAACAACTTCCAGATGAAGAGAGATTAAAAAGACTGGGACAGTTCAGCTTGGAGAAAGGATGACAAAGTGGGGATATGTTAGAGGTCTATAAAATCACGAGTGGTGTGGAGAAAGTGAATAAGGATGTGTTATTTTCACCTACACAATAATCAGGGGTCACCCAATTAAGTTAATAGACAGAAGGTGTAAAACAAACAAAAGAAAGCACTTTATCACACAACGCACAGTCAGCCTGTGGACTCATTGCCAAGGGACGTTGTGAAGGCCAAACATATAACTGGTCTAAAAAAGAATTAGATAAATTCCTGGAGAAAAGGTCCATCAATTATCCAAAATGGTCATGAGCGCAGCCCCATGTTCTGGGTGTCACTAAATCTCTGACTGCCAGAAGCTAGGAGGAGATGCAGGGGATGGATCCCTCGATAATTCCTTGTTCTGTTCATTCCCTCGGAAGTATCTGCACTGACCACTGTCAGAAGAGAGGACACTGGGAAGGATGAACCATTTGTCCAGTACAATAAGGCCGTTATTATATTCTTAAATTGCTCCACTGATCGATGGGCTGCTGCTGACAGGCCGTTTCCAGGGGCTCCCTCTCTTATAGAACTGGCCTATCCACCCTAGCAGATGTCCAGGTGCTGCTCACTGGGGAAGGCTGATGGGGGGTGTAGTGCTGCCAACTAGGGGTGTGGTCCAGTAGCACAAGGGACAGAGACTCATGGTTTGAGGCAGAGCTAGGCTGGAAAACAGAGAGCTTTTCCCTCCACGAAAAATTTTGAGCAAACTAAAATGTTTCCTTTTCGTCCATTTTTTTGGGGTGAGTTTTCATAGAAAATAGATCATTTTTCTCTGAAAGCTCAGCTGCCATGATGCTGCCCAGCTGCAGCTGCCTGGATCCCCAAAAGAAACTGGAGGTTTTCATCTCCCCCTTCCTCATAACGTAAATGAAGATTGCACTGATGGAGTCTATGCTGCACTCTGGGTATGGAAAGGTCGAAATTTCCTGACCAGTCTATGGCTGGGGTTTTGTGCCCATCAGCTTCTCTGACCAGCCCTCCCATCTCTGGCAGCTCTCTGCACCACGCCCCCTTCAGCAGATCCTGCGGGCAGTGGCTGCTGTGACAGGCCCCGGTAGCACATCTCTAATGAACCTGTGCTAGCAGGGAGCTGGAGAGGTTCCTAGAGCAGTTGTGGGGGCACAGAGGTTGTGTGTGGCTGGGGCTTTGCTAGCAATGGATCACTGAGATCTGTGCATATCTTTGGGGAACCTGGGTCCCCCTTTTCTTTCCTCAGGGAGAAGGTAAGGGACTTCCCCTCCTGGAACTATCCGAGGGAAATTTCCATGTACAGAGCCATGTGGCATCTCCTTCACCCTGGGTTTGGCCTGCACCCAGGGTTTGTGATGCTGAAAAGGGTCTGTCGGGTAGAAAACGGGTCCTATATTATGCTATTATTTATTTCATTTTAGCAAGATCACAGCTGTGACAGCATCATTGTTACCACTCGGCCACCCTCACAATCCTACCAATCGGAGCCATGCAAACAGTGATGACAAGCCCAGAGTCCAGGAATAGAGCCTGCAGCATCACCACTCATCTCCTGTGATTTGGCCTCCTCCAGTTTGCCATTGGTTGTGACAGGGGTTAGAGCTGGTGCACAGAAAGCCAAGCAGCTGAGGTTCCCTGATGGTCAAGTGGCCCCCAAGGGAATGTGCAAACATGCTTCATAAAGGCAGTTGCCTCCCTGTCTGAACTGATACTGCCTGTGCAACCTCTCTGATGACTCCTTGTCCTTTAGGGTGAAGACCTCTGGTGTCAGCGACTCCCCATCTAGCAGGAATTGGGTACGTTGGCAGGTTTCACTAGCTTTAAAATGTGAAGGGAAGGGAAACATTTGCACATGTTCTGTGCAGCGGCAGAGGACTCAGCTGGGCTGTCGGGGTGACTCAGTGACGGGCTGGAGGACAGGCAGCGCTAGGTAGCTTGGGAACCTCTCCCCTACATATGACCATGCTCCACAATGGGTTATTCAAGCTACACAGAAATCTGACTTTCAAAGTGAGCTCGGAGTTTTAAATCCCTGAAGCCCCAAGAAAGAATTTTTTCAAGGGGTCCCATTTCTAGAGGTGCTGTGTGCTCTGGGCCCGATGCCACCAGGGCTGAGTGAGAAGAGACTCCACGGAATATCACTGACTAGTTCGCAAATTGCCTCAGGTTTATTTAATCCTGGAAATTTAATCAGCAAATGCATTTTCAGCGATTTTATTCTCTGGCTTGATTTTGAAGGCAGGAATTCAGAGCTGCATTTCTCTGGGGTAACAGGTCTGATAGGGCATATTTTAATATTCTGACTGGCTGAGGGGTCTAGAATCTCCTCAGAGCTACAGCGCTACCAGCATCTCTGCCCCCTCTCTGGTCTCCGAATGCCAGATGTCAGACCTCGAACCCTGCCCTCTCCTAGGGTGGAATCCTGCGACCCTCCCACCCTCAGACTGGGCCCTGGGCTACCGCACAATGTGAATCAACTGTGCTTGCCCAGGAGTTCGCACTGGGTTCAGCGCCTGTGGTTCTTCCCTTTGGGAGCCTCTGAGTAGTGGTGAGACGAGTGACCTGCCAGCCTTCTTGAACCAAAATACTGTTTAATCTGAACAGGAGGAAGAAAGCAACATGGGAGAATAAGAGGGTTTTCAAAGAACAATCTGTACACATCTCTGACCCCCAAACCCTCCCACTCTGATGGGGACCCAGGCAGGCCGGGAGCTTTCAGAGTTCCCTAGTGGTGTCTGTGCATGTCTGTCTGAAGAGCTTCCCAGCAACAGCTGCAATCCACTTCCTGCAAACCCTCATCGTGCCTGAATAACAGGTGCTGGGGTTACTATGTACTAGAGAGTGAGAGCTCAGGGAATGAATATTTCATATACTGACCCCAATGCCTGTTACCACTCAGGCTATAGGCTACAGACTGACAGGACGGAACCTGAGGAGAACCAATCAGCTATTAACCCAGGGACAGAGGAGCTACTAGATTTTTGTTTGCTGACAAGCCACTGAATGAGAGGTGAGATGCTGGGGTCTTTTCAGGTTCTGAAGGAATCCAGATGACAGACGCTACATTTTAAGTCCCACTGTAACCTGAGAAATAATTTCTGAAAGAAGATCAGAGGGGAAAGAATGGGTTGACATGTGTGTGCTAATGTACACATGTGTAAATGTTATGGCAAAGCTTTTCATTGTAATACAATATTACAAACCAACCTTTCGTGATATTGTTGTATGTTGAAGGCCAGCAGCAGAGTTGTTGGAATCTCTAAAGGAAGGAGCAGTGGTAACTTTACTGCTTAATGGCTTTTGCTTCCGAAAGTATATCAGAAGTGCTCCACATACTGTTTGCAAAGGGTTTATGCTGTGAAATCATTTTCAGTGACTAGTTGTATATGTCTCCTGGTAACTGACCAGTAGCTGTTTCTAACACTTACATTTAGAGTCATGAGCACAATCCCTCTGCAATATATGTGCAAGATTTCCCAAAAATTCCTGAGAGAACAGAGCCGCTGGTCTATGTTTCAGCAAAGAGTAGAGCTGAGGTGCAGGAAAGGGGAGTGTAATAGCGATTGTATGTAACTTACACCCATCACCTCTTACAGGAGCATTGCTCAAGGAATTTGCACACTCAACTGGATATGAGTGCAAACCTAGTGTTTTCACTATTCACCCATTTGTAATACCGTCCCCTTCCACGCCCAGCTGAAGCAACTCTGTGTGTTAGCTTGTAACTTTCCAAATATCTATAAATGCCTGCATGGGGAGAGGATGCAGGTCCTGTGAGGATGAAAAGAAGTCTGTAGGATGATCAGACTCGCTGGATTCAGTCACCTTTGGCCAGGGAAACACTTCGGCTTCTCTTGGAGGTATTCTTGGGGTCAGAGTATATCTCTGGGAACATCTGGTAAGGGAAAGTAAATAGAACCCAGTTCTGCCTGAATTTACACAAGTAGATCTGGAGTGACGCAGTTGAAGTCAGTATTATTGAATTAAGAAAATGGCAATAAGAATTTATCTCATGTACTGCAACGAGGCAGTGGCATAATTTTGAAGTGTCACGAGTGGAGAAAATTATATGAAACACATTTATAAATATCTTCAATCGAGGATACACAGATGCAAAGACCGTTTTCAACTGGCCATCTGTTTAGATTCATGTCATCATAAAATGGGCCAAACTCAGAAGTGGAGGGCCAGAATGGGTGTCTGTGGGAAGGTCACAATTGCAAAATCACACAGTGCTGAAGGGGGCTGCGGAACTCCCAGCAACAAGATATCAATGGGGCCAAGAGGTTAGTAGGACTCAAAGAGGGACTGGATGTTTATATGGGTAACCAGAAAATCCAATTACAATAGTGAGGATTATTTTAAATAAAGCCTTGGAATTGCTCTAAACTCTTCCTGATTTACACCATAAAATATGTCTAACTAGTGGGTGTCAGGGAGAAATTTTCCCTGGGAGCAGGTTATCTCATGGGTGCCTATTGTGGGGCTTCTTCCACCTTCCTCTGAAGCATCTGGAACTGGCCACTGGATACTGAGCTAGATGAACTGCAGGTCTGATCCAGTCTGGAAGTTCTTGTCTTCCTATCAGTGGTATATATCCAATATTATGATTTTGCTGATCTTCCTTGAGCTCCTGGGAACCTCTAGACTTGCACGGAGAGCAGAAAGATGTCTTGTTAAATATCATGTAGTCTCCTGTTCTTTTTCCTTTCAGAAAGGAAAGTTCAAAACACCTTGGAGCTGCCCAGTACATTATGTCAGCAGTCAATGACACCAAATTCAACTCTGCAGTGTTCCTTCTCACTGGGATACCTGGGCAGGAAGACGTCCATCTCTGGATCTCTGTCCCATTCTGCCTAGTGTATGTCATTTCGATAGTAGGCAATTCAGTTATTCTGTTCATTATAAAAACAGATCAAACCCTCCATGAGCCCATGTTCATTTTCCTTTCCATGTTGGTCATCACAGACCTTGGCTTATCGATATCCACCATACCAACAACACTGGGGATATTATTATTTAACTCTAGGGAGATAAGCCTCGATGCCTGTTTCTCCCAGCTCTTCTTCATCGACTCTCTTTCATATATTGAATCCTCCGTTCTCTTCTTGATGGCCTTTGACCGCTTCATTGCGCTCTCTAACCCACTAAGATATGCTTCCATCTTAACCCCACTGAGAATAGCTAAAATGGGACTGGTGGCTGTGCTAAGATCAGTGGTCCTAATATTCCCACTCCCCTTTCTCCTGAAACGGTTCCGATACTGTCGAGCCAATGTCCTGTCCCATTCCTACTGCCTGCACCAGGACGTCATGAAGATGGCTTGTTCTGATATCACAGTCAACATCATCTATGGTTTGTCTATTAAACTTTTAACAGTGGGGTTGGACTTATTGCTCATCTTTCTCTCCTATGTGATGATCCTCAAAACTGTGCTGAGTGTCGCATCCCACGCGGAGAGACTCAGGGCCCTGAACACCTGTGTATCCCACCTGTGCGCCATCGTGTTCTTCTACTTACCACATATCGGCTTGTCTGTGATACACAGATTCGGGAACAGCTCTTCTCACTTGCTTCAAATTTTCCTGGGCTACATCTACGTGCTGGTTCCTCCCCTGATAAACCCAATCGTGTACAGCGTGAAAAGCAAACACCTGCGAGCAAGGATAATCAGGGTGTTCTTTAAGTGAACAGTGAGTTCATCACCCAACTCCAGCAGTGTTGACAGAGGCCGTGAAAAACACATGCTCCATATTCCATCCCAGACCCTGACATGCATGCTGGAATGAGCTAATGATCTCCACTTTGAAAAGAGAGGTTCTGATGGGATCTAAGGCCTGGAGCAATGTGGGAGGGGTTGGTGAGGGAGGCTAGAGCACTGGTGGAAGGAAGGCAGCAGCATTTACAAAGTGACTGTGTGTGTGGAGAGCTGTGGGACCGGTGGTATTTTGGCCCATAAAGAGCTGTGTCAGTGGCTTCTCTAACCTCAGAATTCCTGCCTGTAGAGTCAATAAAGAGAAGGGATGTAGATGCTGTTTCCCGTTACACCTGGCCTGTCACTGTCCCGTCTCTGGTTAAACATCCCTCCCTGAGCGCTCTGGGTGCTGCGTGATCCATTGGCGCTGCAGCAGCTGTGGACAGGGGCTATTCATGGGGCCCAGTCACCCATCCTGCACACAACACTCCCACTGAGCTCACTCCCCTCTGTGTCAGAGCAGAGCTGTGTGTGTGTGAGGGTCTGACACACAGGAATCCTGGCAAGAGACGCAAGCCCAGATTCCCTCTTCCTCCCCACCATTTATCCTGCTCCAGGGGTGGAAACGGTGCTCAGCTCCCCCACACAGTCTCAGCTATCTCCTATCCCAGCCCAGTCCATTCACTGTATGGTGACCACCTATTCAAAAGGCAAAAGCAGGACACATGCAGGAGCCACGTCTCCTTTATGACCCCACTCCAGGTGAACTAGAGCAGCTGTGAGGAGCTCTAGACCATTCATCGACCCTGGACAGGAGGCTAGGGGTCCTGAGAGAAGCCCCCAGCCTGTGTTCCCACCTCCCTGGATGTTCAACCCAGGGATGGTGCAGAGTCCGGGGCTCCCCACAGCATCCTGGGCTTCTGGGGCAGCTCTTACTATGGCCCGTCTCCAGCCTGGCCGGGGTGCAGAGGCTCAGGGGAAGTGGAGGAGCAGGGGGCAGGGCCTAGTGGGAAGAAATGGGGCAGGAGGTGGGGGCTCAGGAGAAAAGGAGAAGCAGGGGGTGTGGAAAGCCTGAATCAACACTGACCCCAGCAATCAGGGTGATGGGGGCTCCTGAGTAAAGGAGGAGGATGGGACTGGAGGGTAGCAGAGCCTGTGTTTTGGAGAAGACTGAATTAATGTGACCCCACACAGGGGGATCTTGTTTTAAGTATCGCAGGCTGTCAGGGTTCCCTCCCCACTCTGAACTCTGGGGTACAGATGTGGGGACCCACATGAAAGACCCCCTAAATTTATATTCCACCAGCTTAGGTTAACAACTTCCCCAAGGCACAAATCCTTTCCTTGTCCTTAGATGGTATTGCTGCCACCCCTAAGTGATTGAAACAAACACTCAGGGAGAGGCAACTTGGAGCCCTATCCCCCCCAAAATATCTCCCTTTCACCCCCTTTCTTGAGGTGGGGGTGAGAATAATATACCAACCGATAGGTTGACAAAGTGAGCATAGACCAAATCTCTGTTTTTTAGGACAACTGAAAATAAAATAAAACATGCACATCTAAGCCTAATACAGTAATACAACTGAATCCAGATAAAATTTCACCCTGAGAGATGTTTCAATAAGTTTCTTTCACAGACTGGACACCTTCCTAGTCTGAGCATAGTCCTTTCCCTGGTACAGCCCTTGTTCCAGCTCAGGTGATAGCTAGGGGATTTCTCATGATTGCAGCCCCCTTTGTTCTGTTCCACCCATTTATATCTTTTGCATAAGGTGGGAATCCTTTGTCCCTCTCTGGGTTCCCCCCCCCCCCTTCTCAGTGGAAAAGCACTAGGTTAAAGATGGATTCAAGTTCAGGTGACATGATCACATGTCACTGCAAGACTTCATTACCCACTTGCCCGCACACACATATACAGGGAGACTTACAAGTAAAACACAGCCATCTGCAGTCAATTGTCCTGGTTGATGGGAGTCATCAAGATTCCAAACCACCATTAATGGCCCACACTTTGCATAATGACAATAGGCCCTCAGAGTTATATTTCATATTTCTAGTTTCAGCTACAAGAGTGGTACATTTATACAAATAGGATGAACACACTCAGTATATTATAAGCTTTGTAATGATACCTTACAAGAGACCTTTTTGCATGAAGCATATTCCAGGTACATTATATTTAACCTCATTAGCATAAGCATATTTTCATAAAATCATATAGAGTGCAACATCACAGCTTTGGCTCTTATTCCAATGGGTCCTTGGGTCATTCATGCACCAAAGAAAAACTCAAGAGAAAAACAAAGAAATATAAATTGATTCAGTTGAAGCCCCGCCCCTGCATACATCAGTATATGTATTAGTGTGGCGGGAGGAGGAGGGCGTAAACTCTTACAGACACAAAGAAGGGGGGCGTGATCAAAAAAGAATGAGAACCACTGAACTAGTCTGACCTCCTGTATAGCACAGGCTGCAGAATTTGACCCAGTTATCCCTGTATTGTGCCTAATGACTTGTATTTGATTAACACATAACTTGTGTTCCTCTAAAGCGTCTTTTACAGGAATGCATGAAGTCTTTGTTTGGAGGGATAAGGAGAATCCACCACCTCCCTTGGGAGTTTGTTCCACTGGGTAAAGCACAGTCATGTTTCAAAATGTGTGCCTCATTTCCAAATTTAATTTATCTGGCCTCAGTTTCCAGCCATTGGTTCTTGTTATACCTTTACCTACTACATTAAAGAGCCCGTTAGTAGCTGGTATTTCATCCCTGTGAATGTGCTTGTACATTGTTATCAAAAACCATGAGGAGTCCTGTTGTACCTTTAAGACTAACAGATTTATTTGGGCATTAGCTTTCGTGGGTGAAAGACCACTTCTTCAAATGCATGGAGTGAAAATTACAGATACAAGCATAAATATACTGGCACATGAAGAGAAGGGAGTTACCTTACAAGTGGAGAACTAGTGATGACAAGGCCAATTCAATCAGGGTGGATGTTGCCCACTCCCAATAATTGATGAGGAGGTGTCAATACCAAGAGAGGGAAAAATGCTTTTGTAGTGAGCCAGCCACTCCCAGTCCCTGTTCACGCCCAAATTAAATAGCCAGGGGCCATAGGAATGGGTCTCAATCACACCCACCCCAGACTGTCTCCCACTGCTATAGAAGAATTATAGAGACACGATCCCATTTCCCCAGCAGTTTCTGTGACTTTACTCTTTTCCTCTGGGGCTTCAGGAAAAAATTCCTCCTTGCTGCTGACAGACCCCTGGACAGCCCGAGCCACATTGAAAAAGTCATTCCCCAATAATATTTGGGTTGGGTTATGGGGAACAGCAGAAACTGTTAATTCAGTTTCCAAATCCTCAGTTTTCATGTGCACTTTAGCCAGAGGCACAAGGATTTTGTGACCCCTACTAACAAAAGCTTTGCCATCTGTCCTGGCAGTATGTCTTTCTCCTGAACAAGGCCTCCCCTGTCCACAGAGATTTCTGCACCTGTATCCCTCCACCCAGCAAGCTCTTTGCCTTTTACTTGGACAGCCTTTATGTGCTTCTTGCCAGGCTGTGCAGTGGCTACTTTTACAAACTGTGTATGATAAGTGGCAAGTGCCTGAGGTGCGTCTGTGCACTGCGTAGCAGTATTTCCCTGAGTTACTTGATGCCTGTTCTCACTCAGCACAGGGCATTCATTCCTCAGGTGCTCAATGGAGTTACAACGAGAGCACCTCCTGGGCTCTTTTGCTCTTGGAGGAGTGAAACTGGGGAAGTGAGTGTCCAACCTCCCATCCACCCTCCTTCTTACAAGGGGTAAAATGGGAATCGTGGTTCCCACCAAACTTAAACCCCTCGGCCTGTGATTTGTTTCAAATAGATGCTTGGAACCGTTCAAATTGATCAGCAAAAGTTGCAAGTTCGTCAACAATTTTTACCCTCTTATACCATAAGCACCGTTTCATATCATCATTACATATATTCAGGAAATGCTTCTGAGCAAACAGAACACACATTTCTTCAAAGCTTGAAATACCTTTCCCCCTTACCTACTTATCCATCAAATCTCTCCTTTGGTTTACATATGCCACATTACTCATCCCAGCCCCTCTCTTAAGGGTTCTCAATTTTACTCTATATGTTTCAGGAGTCATCTGAAACTGTTTTAAAACCATTTCCTTGAATTAACCATAATTTGGAGCATCACCCAGTGGAATCTTATTAAATATATCCAGAGCAATCCCAGACAACTTTGCAAGCAAAATGATCATCTTCTGATCCTCTCGAATCTCATGGAGCACACACAGCCTCTCAAAGGTGATGAAGTATTCAGCAACGTCCCATATCTCGCTGTATCCAGGACACAACCCCTCCCATTTGTGGATTTTTGGAGAAATGGAGCCCCCTGGTGGGTGGTTATGGTTCTGCCTGTTAGGATATAGATATTCAGGCCTGTCTGTAAAGGCCTATACTTTAAGAATTTAGGCATATGTTTATCATTTAGCTAATTATAAAGGTATAAAAGAAAGAATCTGCATAAGGGCCTTCTCTCACTGTGACTGTCTGAGGCTCTGTTTTTAAGCTAAGGCCTTCGGCTAAGCAGTGGGAGCAGCCATAAACTGGAAAGTGTATGGTCACGTTCTTAAACATTTTAAACTGTTATATTGAAATAAGGCAATCTTGGACTGTTAGAAAGGTAATCCGATTTCTAACTTTAGAGAAAGGGAAGAGTCTAGACGGTGTAAAAGAAAATTTAGTTTAATAGTTTTTTGCTTGATAAGAACTCACTTATCAATAGACACAGCTGGGAACCCTTGTGTCTTTATAGATGTAGTTGTGAAATCCTCACTTTGGTATTGTTTTGTCATTATAGTTTCCACTTTGCTATGTTTATTTGCATGGTCTCTGGTTCTGTGATTGTTTTTGTCTCCTGTATAATTAATTTTGCTGGGTGTAAACTAATTAAGGTGGTGTGATATAATTGGTTAGCTAATTATGTTACAATATGTTAGGATTGGTTAGGTAAATTTTAGTAGAATGATTGGTTAAGGTATAGCTGAGAATATTACTATATACTTGGATTTAAGCTTGCTGAAAGTTCACCCCAATAAACATCAGATTGTTTGTACCTTCGGACTTCGGGTCTTGCTGTTTTTTGTTCATGCGAAAATGACCAGGGAAGTGGGAAAGAGAAGAAATAAGTTCGCTAACACTGCCTCTCTATCGAATCCAGTTCTTGCTTCCTCTCTTTTCCTCTCTCCTACATCTCCTTGGTTCGCAGTTCCATGACTTGCTTCTAGGCTTCGATTTCTTTATCTTTCAATTACAGGGCAGCTTTTTGCCTGGCTGCTACTTCCTCCATGGCCCTCTGGTGGGCTGCTTTCTGTCTGGCTTCTTCTGCTTCCTGTTATTTTATCTGTAATTAATTCCATCTGTCTCTGGTGCTCTTTCTCCCTCTCTTCTGCCTGTAACCTGCAGAGCTCTAGCTTCTTGGTAACTTCACTTTCATTCATTTTCCTACTTTTCTGTCCCTGCTTCCCTTGCCTGAAATAAGCAAACAGAAAACAACAAACTGGTAACCACTTTGATTGTTCTCCAGCCACCACACTTAAAACTCACTTAAAATCACCACCAGTGTCTCAAAGCAATAAGCTGTGTGCATGACTCTGCTTGCTGTATCACAGTGATGGGTTGTCCCCCCTTGCGGGGTGCCACCTGATGTACTAGGGTACCACTAAGCCCGTCTGTTCCACCAGCTTTGGCTCCCTCACCCTGTCCTACTGAACCACGCCCTCAAGCCTCCTACAGCACACACACACGGGTAGGGACACAACCAGCTGCAGAAAGACACAGACACTGAAATCAGTACTGCATGGGAAGGCTTTCCGCTAAGGAATTGCCAGGCACTCAAGTGCATGCCCCCGCTGGAGTGTAAACCCAAAATTGTATTGTCTTGTGCTGCACAGAGAACCATACAGCATAAGCTAATTGAAATTCGCCTCCTCCTTCAATGTGGAGGAAGATAGGCACAGCTCTTTGACCACTCCCACCAGTTATGAATTCCACAAATTGGGTTTAGAGAAAATAAAACAAGTTTATTAACTTCAAGTTTTGAAGTGATTATAAGGGATATCAAACAGAGCAACGCAGATTACTGAGCAGATAAAACAAACACACAAAGTAAGCTTAATACATTAAAGAAACCGGCTAGAAGTAGTAATTTCTCACCCTAAGTGTTGTTTTAAGCAGGTTTCAGAGTTTCTTGAAGACAAATTGCACCCGCTTGCAGCTTAAAACTCCAGGCATTCCTTTCACAGGCCAGACACATTTTCCAGCCTGGGCTCAGACTTGCATAAACCACATCTTAGTTATGCCAAAATTATATTATAACAATATTTCCATGAAAAATATGGGGCATAGTGACGCATATATCATCTTTCAGGTGCCTGTACAGTGTCAGCTCAATAAAATAGGTCACTTTCCCCTTGATGTGGGAAAGATATGCAACAGCCTTTGTACACAGAGTTGAGATTTTCCCCAGACACGATACTCAAAACATGCTGGTGAAGATAAAGCAGAAAACAAGTTTATTAACAACTAAAAGATGAATTTTAAGTGATTATAAGTGACAGCAAAGAG